TCTCTTACCCTCTGCCACCTCCTGCTCTCCTCCCACACTGTCTCTGGTATCTATGTTTGCTTTCTATACCGTTTTCCCCCCACATTTTATTGAATCACCAAAGACCCTAATCAATCCAAATACCCTCATAGCAAACACAGGTGACACACACATTTCCATGAGCACAAGTCTAACTTTACGCATCCTATAAAGTAGCACCGAACTGGGGCTACATATCATACTGCAGTCATTGAATAGATATATTTTTTTTTCCTGAAACTTTTTTTTTTGTAACTCAATTTACATTCCTTCCCTAAGCATCATCACAGCACACAAAATGCGATCTCCCATCCAGTACACACTGCATAGTGACTCAATCATGCACATTACAAAAAAAAATTTTCCAATTCTAGTTCCTAGAATTATTTCCACCCCTCTTGCCCTGGTGACTTTTGAAAAGTCCTGTCAGGATGAATAAATGGAGGAGGAGGGACTATCCTGTGGCCACGCCCCTTTGCGGGTGGGAGGTGCTTTCTCCCTCTGTCTCTTCTCTGGCTCACGTGCCCTCTTGACAGTTAAGGAAAAACAAAAACAAAACAAAATTAAAAACAAAACTGCTATCTGGCATATTGACTAAGTTAAAAACACTTTAAAACAGTAAGTACAAATAGATCACTTCAACATTTGTGCTGCTTCTTAAAAGCCAAAGAAATTTCCTTGTAAAGCACTCTTCTCTGCACTAGAAGGAACGGCAGCATCCTCATCTTCAAGGATAAGAAGTTGAGACCAAGAAAATACTGTTCAGACCTTGTTAGAGTAATTCTTATCTTTTCAGTCTTCCCACATAATTTAGTGACATATTTACTCAATCTGGTATATAAATAACTGACTCTAACTGCTTCATTTCCTTAGCACCTATGCCATGAAAAACTTGTATTATGCTTTTCTCCTGTTAATCTATATTACATTAATTTAATTCTCAGACCCAACAGAGACCCTAAGACGACTGAGGTGCAGCTTTTTTCTTCCCTCTACAATAAAAATAATGAATAGTGCTAAAAGAGTATCTATTGCTGAAATACAACTTTGCTTCTAAGAAATCTCATCAATACAAGGCAGCGTCCATTTACTTACGTTGCTATGACAGCTACTTATATCCATCAGATTTCGTATTTTAAGAAATACAACAAATAGTATATTAAATGATAAGTTAGATGTTTGTAAGGGATATGTTTGGTTGTATTCATATAGAAATATATGTATGTTTAAATTAAAATAAAAAAGCAAAGACATTCTTCAATTATCTAGTAAAATATAGACGAGATTAGTAGTCACATGAAGTCATACTTTTTCTTTACAACTTTTCTTAAAAGAAATTTTCGGTATCAAAAAAGAATAAGAACTCTTTGAAATTATAGGGTCAAAGATTTTATTGTTTCTTCCTAGAATGTGGTCTGGAAATACTAGTATATATAATATATCTACCTAAGCTCTTCCTTAGGCTGATGAATCCCACCACAAAAGAGTCCAGTGGTCAACCTGACACTAGGGAGGGTTTCCACCAACAATTTCTTACCTTTTTCTAAGAATGAATAAAATTATAATAAAGAAAGCAAGTCCATATTTTTGCAAGTTTTAATAATTAAATAATCTTTCCAGTAAAAAACAATTATTTAGATTTAACTTTTCCATCTAATCTGTGTAAAAAACAAATCTACTCTATAATGATATATGGAGTTGCTATGTGCCTATAACATTCAAAAAAAATTAACTGCCTTCATGGAGCTTTCATTTCACACAAAACATATGTGTGTATTCATATACATATACACAGGTTACAATCATGTAATTAAAGTATATCACTCTTATTATCTAAATTTCAGTTTTATTTAGTCTTAAAATGAAATCACATCATCATTGCACAGTCCTCATGGTTATCATACATAAAATAATACCAAAATTATGTGTAAAACTTATGTGTGTGTATGTGTATTTATATGTGTGTGTATGTATATATACACACATAAAATAAATATATATATATATAATTTACATAAATACTTCCCTAACTTGGATGTTTAGGACACCAAAGACACTTTATATCAAAGATATATTCTCTAATATAAACACATGAATATAGAGATATATAGGCCAAACATATGCACATTCACGAAAGTAAACCAAAAACTTATTTTGATGAAATAATTATAATTCTGGTAAAAATCTCTCTATCAAGACTACAATGAGACAGAAACACTTTAACAGTAGCTTCAATAAGAAGCAATAAAGGGTCAAACAGATTCAATATAAGGGATAAACACTTAAAATCACAAAGCTGATAATTTTCTTACAAATTATGTTATTGATAACAAAAAAGTCTTAATGTTAAATGTATCTTGATATGAATCAAGTACAGCCTTAATTCAACATTAAAATTTTATTATTGGCATTTAGAATATCTAAATTTATTTTCTATAAACAAACTACTTACAGCCTAATAAGAACCACTAGTGTCAAATGACTACAAAGACAAATATTTGGATTTGTTTTTTTTTTCTTTTTATAATTTCTGGTTCCTTCTCTATATTTTTTTCCCTTCTAGTCATTTGCAACCCTGTCATTTATCTCCGGAGGATGTTACTTCCCTCTTCAGACAATTCCCATATATTAATAGATCTGCATGGGTTATCTGTTACATATACAACTATTATTGTTTCCTCCTCCATCCTCTTGCACTCCCTTCCTTCACATTTGCTACCCTGCTTTACTTTCTCATCATCTCATTCTAAGAAAAAGAGCACAGGCAGTATCATTGTAAACAGCATTGCAGCAGCAGATGTGGTGTGCACCTGAATCTATCAGTTCACAAAGAGGCTGAAGGGCACAGTTGAGATACCTGAAAATTGGATTTGAGGCAATAAACAAATGCAGAGCCGGAGACAGGGCAACTATGACTCCTGCTGAGACAGCTTTCCACCCTGTACATTCTCTGGTTACTGTTCCCCTTGCCATCATTAAGTAAGTATGCTTCTCAATTTGCATTCCTCACAATTGAAAATACTCAGTGATTTGATGGAATGTAGACTGCAATATATGTATATTTATTATATCACTGGGCTTGAAGGAACAATAAATAATTCCTTTATTTCTCCTCCAAATTTGGGACCAAATGAGTAGTAGACAGGTGTAGATAAACAGAACTCAAAATACAAGTGTTAGTATTGTAACAGCACACTGCTTGAATCTGATGCCACAGAGCCTTCCAAAAGTCTTCCGTAAACCAAATACATTTAGCCACAAAGACATAACCAAAGGCCTTTCCCTGACTGTTCTTATTAAAATAGATACGAAAGTAAGCTGAAGGTAAGCAAACTTGAAATTATACCCTAAAAACAGGCTAATCTAAGACTTTCCATGTTTTCTCCCAAATTAACTTATCAACCATTCCTCCTATCAGTGCAAAATGAGTGAGAAAGTCCGAGGGAGGCTAATGGTGTTACTCTAGCTTAGAACTTCTGAGAGAGATACTAGGAAATGGAAATTGCTTTGTAATAGGTATTATCACAGGTATACCACTCTAACTTACTGATTATGTAAGTGGAATAAATATGAATGATATATAGCAATCCATATTTTCCAAGATTCCAACACGGACCATTTCTACCTTTGTAATCAAGAAAGAAAAATTTAAAAACAAAACAAACAAACAAACAAAAAACATTTTAGGGGGCTAGACGGACCAGCAGGTGACACAGTGGTTAAGGCACTGGACTCCCACCTGGCTGACCACAGTTCAAGTCCCATACTAAGTGGCTTGAAACTCATGCCAGCGATGTGTGCATGCATGCCCAAAATCCCAAGAGGAGAATGGAGGAGAAGGGACTGCAGTATGGCATCCCCCTGGGGGATAATTTCTTGCTTTCTGTCTGTTTCTCTGTATCTCCAGTGACTGCTCATGCACTATAGCAAAAATGTCTCTAAAAGGTGGGGAGGAGTCGGACAGTGGCACAGTAGTAAAACCTGCAAAG